TACAATTAGCAAATTTTTAGCATTGCTTTATCTTTTATAACAAACTTTAAATTTGACTAAATTTCCTAGCATATTCAGCTCTGATCTTTAGAATATTTCCAAGGAACATATTTTCCTAACGACAACGTTATTGCACCACTGTATTTGTGAAGGCAAACTAAGTTGAGGTATGGTCAACAAGAACAGAGCATAGCCTGATATTCCGAGTGTTTACTTTAGACATTCAACAGGAGAAGATGCACCAAAACTTGATTTCGGGGGTGGAACCGTTTGATAAAAAGTAACTTCAACCCACCAAGACTCAAGAAAATTATTCTGGAAGGTTGAAGGTTAAAAAAAGCCACGAAGTGTACCGCGACTGAGTAGGTTTTGCTGAACAGACTAATGCAGGGAAACTGAATGTTAATTGTTTCATTAACAGCAACAACTCTATAATTGTTACAGCGGTTTTAAATCTCAAATTCTCTTTCCATTAGCCACTTGAAGCTTGTGGGTGTCAGTGATTAGGTTATTTGCTTTTCGCCGTGTATGTAATATAAATAGTCTGTTAATGTTATCCAAAAGTGAACTTGTAAGTAAGTATACAGAATGGTCATGACTGAGTACTAACTTAAATTTCTACTTAAATTTTGTCTCAATCAGAATACAAGCTTCACTTTCTAGCATTTTATTTTGATACATTTGCTGTTTAAGTTCACGTTGAAACTGTGAATAAAACAAGCTTATATTGATAGCAAAAGTCAGTAGGAAAAATGTATTTGTATTAAACACGATGTAGTTACATTAGTGTGTGGGCTGTGAATAATTTCAACAATTCGCTTTAATTGAGTTAGTTAAACTTTTTCTAAGCCCAGCTTCAATTAGATTGCTTTTTGTAACATTACTTAACTTTTTCAACTTAATGTCTCATCTATCTTGTTTTATGTGTAACAAGCGTGTACATGTATGTATACTGACATAAAGTAATTCAGTGTTTGATATCAGTTCATCTGTGATTGGTGTTAAGAACCGAGTTTTCGTTTTCTTCAGCGTAAGCTGTCATTTATCACAGCAGATATGTTATCAAACTTGTCTTGATGTAGTTTGTTTATGTTATAGTGCTACACCTCCGTTCGTTAGTTAATTTTCCGTAAATTAGTTCCGACGAAACTTTAGCGACACAAGCCCTTTCTAAAATAAAACTGGTTTAATCTTTCCGAATACAACTTTACGATACACTTAATTTCAACAGTCGCTCTATAACAAACGCTATAACTCTCAACGAACGTCTCACGTGCTCGACTCAACAATACTCAGTTCGATTACACACATTCCGTTCCGTTACGTTGTGACCGTCTTACACACACACACACACACACACACACACACACACACACACACACACACACACACACACACACACACACACACACACACACACACACACACACACACACACACA